AGATTAAAACTTAAGCCTTCAATTCTATTCAAAGGATGGGATCCTGGAAATAAAATAAATATTGATAGGCGTGGTTCAATAGGGTTTATGGACTTCAAATTGTAGTTTTTTAGAGTTTAGAGCAGAAAATATGTTTATTAGAAATTAACAATACATTAGGAAGGTGTGATTGGGAAATGATACAATACATCATGCAATGTTTCTTCCGGGAGAGGCATTGAGCAATAGCACTATAATTTATTAAAGGCATACAATTACTCCGTCCTTATCGAATCGTTTGTGTTAAGTAATACCAATTTAAAGGGCTTTGTTTACTGAAGGATTGATCTTCGATCTAGTTAGAAAAATACAAATAAATCAACCTAGAAATAGACATACGTTTCCATGCATCTACGATTTAGATATTCATAGAAGTCTCTATCCTCATGATACGAGAGATAACGTTTACGCACAATCTAATAGCATCACCTACAAATCGACAATGCAATAATATAATATAATAAATACAAACTTATTCAAATTAAAATTGAGTTTTGTAATGGTACGACTCTCCTTTCTCATTTCCATTCAGTTGTCGAATCTATGCAAAATCTCCGAAGATTTAATAGTACCTGTGGAACTGGCACTAGCTAGGTTCCACTATGTGACATCGCTTTCTTCTACACAAATATCAAATTCAATATGAAACGTTTTATCGTAATCCTTTCCTATGTTATATCAGTTTCAGTTTCCTTTTGATCTGTAAAACAACAAGGAAAAAGTTATTATTATTTAGCATGGATTCTTCAAATTGGGACTTAAATTAAGAAAAAAAGGTTTAGTTTGTGATAAGTGTTGCTGTAATAATCTAATCAGTGTATGTTTGCGTACTTTAATTTGACTTCCTTTTTCGACGCCAACAACATCATTAGTTCGAGCAGGGGCTCAATTATAAGATAACTTTCAAATGTAAAACGAGAAAAATTTCGGAAGGTTTTTCCTTCATTAATTAACTCATAGTATAAGATGTCCCTAACATATGGAATATAAAACCATAGCCTCTTTCAAACATAACAAGGGAAATAACCAACATTAATTAAACCGGATATATAACTTGGAATAATAACCTCAAAATGGTTGGCAGAAGTTTTAAGTGTTGAATTCTCAGTCCACTATGCAAATTCCATGCAACTTTAGTGATATCAAACCACCAATCCTTGCTCATTTAGAGTTAGGCTTGGGTTAAATTTCTCATCATCACGACCAGAAGAAGATTGTAGATTTAAAATGGTGTACTGAACACGATATACCTCACATAGTCTCCGCAAAACATTCGTCACCA